ATATTTTTTTTTACACGTGAGTCCCTTGTGTTTGCATTCATAATTGTTATTCGGCGAGAAAAACACGTTGGCGTGTCAAATGATAATGATAAAACGTTACATTACTTGCCTTTAACGCAGAATTACATTCTGTGAGTGAACGATCCTCGAGGACTTTGAAATAGTGGTTATAGCCAGTGTTTGCCGGTATCTAGATACAATTATCTAAATAATCATTCAGCTGAACAAATAGATCATCTTTATCTTTATCTAGATGGGAGAAATACAAAATATATTTATCTTCGTTTTAAATGAAAAACATGTTATCTCATCTAAAAATTATCTGAAATGACGTTATGGCCCAGATTTTGAACTCACTTTTCAATAAAACGAATAAAATAATATGGATCTATGCGTTAAGCCCGTATCAGATTAGAGATTGGAGATTGGATTTCAACGAATGAACAAATTTTGGTTTTGTCTCCTTTGGTCTGTTCTTTTTTAGCTGCATTGCTGAACTGGTGCAATAAGTTAAAGCGAGACAAAATATATTTGACTCACTCCAACTTATTGCATCAATTTAACAGTGCAATTGAAAAGAACAGACCATTTGTTTCAATTGATCAATCCACTTTAAGCCTGTATCAAGCTGTCGACTGTGAGAGAGCAGTCAATGATTATTGATCTTTTGCGTTAAATCCTTAAATTTGGAGCGATTATGTTGACAAATTACTTAACTGTTGTCCTATTTTATGATTTGCATGATTTTTATTACAAATTTTTATAAAGTTTCTTATGAAAACAATATCATCTAACAAATTATCTAGACAAGTAACGCTGCTTTTCTTATCTTTCATCTAGCTAAATCAAGGGAAAAATCATCTCCATCTTATGATGAATTTTCAGATTTCCATCTCATCTTCATCTAGATGAATCTGAAATCATCTAAGGCAAACACCGGTTATAGTGCATAGTGTAATTGACCGATAAGAGCGTATTCCACCGTTCAATCGCGTTATATAAACTGTTGTACAGTCATTAGTCCGACGGGTCTTATTCTTTCTTCATTGTGCAGTCATGCCTTTTGCGTGCAACCGATGCGGTTGCGTCGGTCGAATCGATGAACTCGTGATTCGTCGCTGTGCAGTTAATGACACGCGATGTTTTTTCATTTAGCGAGCACCGGTAGAATACTCGATGTGGCGACGACCGGTGATAAAAAATTGGAAAAAATTTCTTCGCATGTTACCACGCTACACGGTGGACGTATCCGTAGCGCTGAATAATTTATGAGCCGGTATCTTGGCTCGAATAATAGCGCAATTAGAAAAGCGGACGCGATTCGTGCGAAAGCGAGATAAGACCCTCGCGTGCTCTCTTAACTCTCTTGACTATTTCGTCAAAAAAATGGCTATTCCTTGCACGTAGATGAATCTTCGAGCAAGATCACGGTGGATTTTACGACGTCGCGCTTCTCGCACTATCGTTTGCGATCATTTGTATGTATTCGTCGGAAATATTATAACGGAAATAGTGTGTCCCTTGTTTTTGCTGTCTTAAGGAAGACAATTGGTGCTATTGCGGCTACGCTAAAATCTTGAAATTCTGTTTTGTAATTCCATAAAAATTCCATAAGAAAAATATCCGGGCGGAAAGAATGAAACCTCAGGTTTACAGTCGACAGCCTTAATACTCGGTGATTTTCAAGCGTACGCATCGCATCCGAAATTACCCATACGATATGATGAAAATTATAGCAGCCTTATTATACAGTTACAGTTAACCCTGAAGAATTAAGCCTCAGGGTTACAGTTAACAGCCTTAATACTCGGTGATTTTCAAGCGTACGCATCGCGTCTTGAATGTACGCATACGATATGATGAAAATTATAGCAACTTTATGAATATTAATACACACTGGAAAGAAAGTCGAGTAAAACGAACCAAGTCTCAAGGTTACGCAAATGTTGCGCAAATTGCAATTGGGATAAGATTTGAGGAAAAATCAAAGTAGATCAACGATCTGACGTAGGAATTGGAACCATAAAGTTTAGTAGGCAGTTAACGAAACTGAAAAGTAATTGCATGCATGGTACAGATATTCCCTCAACCAGCAAAAGGTTGATTTAATTGCGTGGTACCAGCAATTTCACCTACGAAAGGTTAAATAAATCAGACGACCAATATAATTCGTCGGTCGAGCTTTCTGATCGCCTCATTGAACTGACTACAATCTTGAAATTGAATTCCGTTCACTCGAATTGTTTCGAACTTTTGTAGAACGCATCAGTTACATGTAATTTCGTGTTTGTATATGATAAAATATCGCGTATAAGAGATATTTGCACATGCGAGCAAATTTGATCTGCTTTGAGAGGAAAATATTTGATATTTTTAACTATACAGTCATCTATTATAGTGAAAGAACTATAGTCAGATCTGCACAGAGAAAATGAATTTTGTTGGAACAGCAAATGTTTGTCAATATAGTGGCAGCAAAAAAAGTTTGTTTAGACAGCAAAAATTTGTTTGGACAGTGGAAAGATTTGTTAAGAATATTAATTGCTATTTGCTAAATATGTGGACAATTAATAATCATAACAAATCTTTCTACTGTCCAGACAAATTTTTCGCTGTCTAAACAAATTCTTTTTTGCTGTCACTATATTGACAAACATTTGCTGTTTTAAATTAGTTTTCTCCGTGCATTTTTCTAGTAAGCGTTACTATAGAATCAGTAATAATAACCTTGCATACATGTCATTATTATTTTTGTGATTAAAAAGGACATAGTTAAGGTCGGAAATTATGTGTGATTTATTTTCATTTAACGAATACTTGACGAACGAGGGCCTTCATTCATGCGATAACACCAAAGCGACTTGCGATTTTCTCTTCTGCGAAGAAACTTCCATTCTGATGCGTCAAGAATATCAAGAGTCGCGGTGTTTCGCCTCCCTCCCCTCCCCCCGTTTTACCACTCTGCCCGATAACGGTACCAATCTGGATGGTCGATCTGTTATCATTATTATCGCGCGATCCACGCGGGGTGTGTCCGCCGTCGTTGGTGATTTAATGCCCGTTGGAATAATTACGTTAAATATAAGCTAAAGCTCACGGCTTATAATTCACCATTGATGCGTCGCGTATCATCGGGAATCGCCAACAAGAGGCGATTTTCCAGCGCCCTAATTGTTCGCAATGATTTATCATGGTGATTACAGCGAGAGACGGACGTTCTCCATACCGATTGATTCCATCGATGGTTCTCGGTTGTTCTCTCGGTGTCCAAGTGAAGCAATTCTTCGCGAACTGCGCGCGTCTCGGCCGAAGGATCGGAGTTTCGGATCGAAGTTCGCGATCGGGCCTTTTCCGTATCGAAACGATGCGCGCACGTGATAAAACACTGCATTCGACCTAGTTTCGCGGATTGGCGTGATCTCAGACGGCAAATCGCAATCGGAAGTCGAGATACGTTTGAGATACGAACGCGCTGTATTCCTTATCGCGAGCACGACTCCACGACGCTTCCACTCCGTTGAAATTAGCGGATATTTTGCTGTATTTTCGCCTTGAAGTTAATTCAGTAAATGTTTGTCGGACTCACTTTCGATTAGCTTGACCTTGATACATGTTGTCAAGATCATTGCTCCGAGTAACTTTTAACATGGATGTATATAAAAATCCGACCTTCGTGACGGCATATTTTTTTTAATTTTAATTAAGTGAAATGTATTTAAAAATATATACATGATTTTTATTTTTTTTTTACCTTCTAACTTTTTTCCAATTTTTTACTAATTTTTTCTAATTTTTTGTTTAAACTTACCTTCTAAATTCTTTTTACCTTCTATGAGAAAAGGTAGGTCGAACTTAAGGTCGAGCTCGCCATATAGAGAGAACGTCCAGCTCGATCTAAAGGTTGAGCCTACATAACGTGTTAAAAGGTTTTAGCTCATTGTTTATTAAAAAAATTATGAGTAAAGGAAGGTTAAAAAATGTAACATTTATTCTCAATTCTAGATTTGATTTAAAAATTATGTATAGCTGATCATAGGAGAAGAACTTCTCTCCTCCCCCCTGGTTAATCCAACTTAACCCCGAACTCATCCTCTTCTCGTTAGTAAAAGTTGTACTTAACGCTATCCTATCTTATTCCTTCGTCGGATAGAAAATTATTATTTCTCTGTGTAACTTCGAGTTTGCGTAAAGTTATAATTTTAATTCACAAGAAGAAAGTGGGCTCGGGTTAGATTAGATTAATCAGCTGGGAGGGGCGAAGCCTCTCCTTCATAGTCACCTGTACATCGTATAAAATTGTATGGCATGTTGATAAACTCGTGCAAATGCATGTTAGAAGTATGAAAAATTATCTTGAAATTATCCAACTGATTGGCGCACAGTTATACGACGTACTGACAGAGACTACTAATACAAACACACATACACCGAGTAAAAACATTTCATGCATTTGATAGAAAAAAATCAAAACAGGAGCCTTGGCATGTAGCGGATATTTATACATAGCATGCATTACGTATTTACTTATTATATATACACGGTGTCAGGAAATTACGTTTTATTTATGAAACATTTCCACTAATAATTTTCTAATTAACAATGAGCGTCTGTTAGAATTCCGAAGGTTACAACGATGTCCGTGATAACATATCTCAAAATCATTGAGATCGCAAGATGGTCCCTTTAATTACATAATTTCTGAAACTTCTTTTGTTGATAACTTCGTAACAAATAACACGTGACGGAAGTGAAACTTTTTTGAGCGTAATTTAAGATGATGACCTTGATAACGTATGTCAAGCTCATTGGAGGTGCGGTAATGTATATGTTTATATTAATTCAGATAAAATGAACCGGAAAAATCGAATAGAAAGAATGTTAGAAACTACTTAATTCTTACCTGGCGAGTTAACTTCTTACTTAGTCATTTAATCTAAAAATGTTTGTGAGCGTGTAGAGAAACTTTATTATTATTTTTTTTTTTTTTTTCGTATTTGCAGGATATGCGAAAGACAAAGAGACGTCGATAGGCACAACGATAGAGGCGAGGATGACGATGAGGATGAGAATCCATTGGGAAGGTGGCCTCATGCCCTCAGCCCGGCGCTCGCCTGTCTCGGCTGTACTCTGGGACTTTTTAATATCAGTAGATTCGCCATTCTTAGTATACAGTTTGGAGGTGAGTACGTCATTCGATTATGATTGACTGTGTTGGTATCGTAAAAATGTCCCGAATAATTGATGTCGCAAAAGTTTCGCAGAGACTCTATTGAAGTTCCATGAAATTTTTTCTCTTACAATATGCACGTCATTGCACGATGTACTCGGTGAGATAAAATGACAAATACGTGAAACTAATTTTACTTTGCCGAAGTCGGGCCTCGTCGATAATTTAGACACGCGAAATTGATCTGTTTATTTATGACCGCGGAAATGCGCCACGATATGTCGCATTGATGTCTCGTTAAATTCTTTTCATGTATCTTCCGCACTGGGAAAATTGAACTTACCGAAATTACGTACTTTTGACATTTAATTTGGCAAAATAATCGATTTTTCTTCTGACAAATGCGTAGCGTAACTACGAACGTATGTTCTCTTAAGATTAATAGCCGATAATTATCGCTCGTTGATAATAATTCATACCGTGACGCGCTCTCCGTAAAACCAATAATTAGTCCCGAGGCTGCTCCCGAAGGTAATGATTGATTTTTACCGAGGAAACGGTTGATTAGCCACGTCCACTATGTAATCGGTATTCATCAACAACTGCAAGACAATTGCGAATATTTTCTTCGTCGCGACTAATTCTGTTTATTCTGTTCTTTTTTTTCATTATTTATTCATTAACGGAATAACCCATTTTATACAAATTAAAAGAAAATAACAGAAAAGATACGCAAACACACCGAAAGCAAGAAAATAATAAATATATAGAGTGTGTGCAAAAACTTAAAAACCAGGCATAATATTAAATACAATAAGACATTGATTTCGGCAGTGGTTACGCTAGGACGCTTAAAATCGGCTGAAAATTTGGAAAAAGTGACTGCAAGGTGCGGCGAAACGCAAAGTTGCATATTTCGATTATTGGATCACCATGCGAAATTTTTCTGCGAGTTTTACTTCATTTTACTTCACTTGTTTGTTTTTTATATGCCACTTTGTGTTGTTTCATTTTACTTTACACTTATGACATCTTCTACCTTACAGCAAACTTCATTGTACAGTTCCTGATTTTATCTCTCATACTGGGCATCCCGTTATTAACGTTGCACGTGTGCCTCGGACAAAGACTGGCGGCTGGTTCTGTGGATATGTGGAGGATTTCGCCGCTTTTTCAAGGTGTCGGAATAGCCCTGCTCACCGCGCAGGCTTTCATCGGTATCTACAGTATAGTCGGTGTATCGTGGATGTTTGTGTACTTCAGGTACGTTCCGATATTTACTTCGAAATACATTTTCAATTATGTGGAATTATACGTGTAACTAAATTGTAGTTTAGAGGATGAATCGAGTCATGAAGAGATAGAGTAATCAAAAGGAGAGGAATTATAACGATTAAATATAGAAATAACATCTTTCCGGCGATTAAGGGTGAAATTTTCTTCGATTTATCTAATAAATTTTGTCCGAAAACCAAATTGATTTTTCTCTTTAAAACAGCGGAGGCTTGTATACAACAAAGTTATCCGTGATTTAACCGATCGGCGAAACAAATGACGAAATAGACTTGACGCAAACATAGATTGGCTTAAAGAAATAAAATATCGAATTGATATACATTCACGTTTATAAATTTCCGTCAACCCGTTTCTAATTTCGGCCCTCCTGATATCTACCCGAGCGTCCAACTTTATCATTTGTACGCGTCGGAATTGTAACATCATGCCGTGTTGACCAAGTAGAACGAAACGCGTGGTTGCATTGATTGCAGAGATTCGTTCATAACGAAGCAGGATAAGTATCGATGGGCGGAGCCGTTTCTTCTCTATCGGGACGACAACCGTCCCGCGCACAACACTACCGCGTCGTACAAATTGCACGAAACCGTTCCGGATTACTTCAGCGGCGCCGTGTTGCAGAGGCATCATTTGAACGATGTCGATCCGGGCGTGGTTACGCTGAAGTTCCAGGTGGCCTTCAATTTGGCCGTCGTATGGATGATCGTGTTCGTTTCACTGAGCAAAGGTAAAGAGAAATGTAAAAAAATGCTTCTCCTCGAATAAGTGTCAGCGAAATTTCCCAACATTGACGTCGGATATTGTCAGTAACGTTCTAATTTTTTTCTAAAACATTTCCAACATTCTTCCAGATTTATAAATTTAAAATACCAAAGAATTTAATGAAACCAAACATATGTAGGTGATCAAGTCTTGAGATTTGCATTGGTGAACGCTTTTATCGCAAAATGCGACTGATGTGAAGTGATATGAGACATCCGTAAATTCGTCGGAGAACGCGAGGGTTGCGCATTTATTGTTCATTCCTCCAGGCCTGAGGTCCTACGGGAAAGTGGTGTACGTGTTCACACTGGTGCCCGTGGTTGGCACGTTGGTCCTCTGCGCGAAGCTTCTGGGGCTGAACGCGACCGGCTCGATACAGCACCAGCTCTTTCCCGCCACCGTCTGGAGCGAGTTCTTCATCAACGGGAAATCGTGGGTGGCCGCCTCGAACGAGGTTTTCCTCACGTGGGGTTTACTCGGTGCGGCGGCTATGCAGGTATACATCTCGTTTCGCCGTCGGCCGGTCGACGACTCCTCACTTGAGATCGTTATTTCGTCTCTTTGCCGGTTCTATCACGGATCTTTCATGATATCGTAGAACTTCGAACGCGGCTCATCGGGATGTACCCATTCCTCGTTTCAGATAGCGGCTCATAACAAGCACAAGCACCTCCTGCAGCGAGACACGAGCCTCGTGGTGGTCCTCACCTTCGCCGTTCTCCTCCTCGCGGCCTTTCTCGCGAACACATGCGTGCAGATCCTCAGACATCACGGCTACATCTACACCACCAGCTCGTTCGGTAAGCCCGTGTATCGTTCGCCCGGAGCGATCGAATCAACCGGACGTGCATTCGTGATCATTCCCGGAGACGAATTTTCAGAGAGGATATCAGGGTATACGTTTATGAGACTCGCCAATCAACCGACACCGCCGGGATACGGCAGTACGCCGGAGAGATTCATGTCCCACGCGTCCTTCCTCCTCGGGCAACGCGTGATCCGGCCTAACGCCGACACGAGCGTCGAGTCGGGATACCAAGTATTGAGACTGTGCACTGAACTGGTGCCTGCGACCTTGGCGTTGCTGGGCACCGAACAGGTGTCGCCATTCTGGGCGGTACTGTTTTACTTCATCATTATCTTATTTGGAATCGCACAGCAGGTACGACACTTTCTCATTAGGCGGGTGAGGCACCATAAATAAAGGTCCATTCCACAATGTCCGTGGGGGCTTGAACAGGAACGGTTGACTCACCGGTTCGAGACGACCTTAAATCTTTGTCCTAAGTTGCGCACAATGACTGTCATGGGTCTGGAGTCTTCGACCTAAAAAGCTGTTCTCTTTGATGACGTTGTATAATAAGAAATCTAAAGAAATGATAATACAGTTGAAGATTCAGGTCGTAGAACATTGTCTTCAAGTGACAAGTCAGCCGTTCTATTGAGGCTCTAAAAGTATGGCTGTGAGTTTTTGAGTTGTTTCATTTCAGTACAATAAACGCGGCCTACAACTGGGCGGCAGAAGTATGTTTATAAGAAGTAAGAGTAAGAAATTAACCGATCGTGGTCGATTATTCTCCTTACATTCGAGCATGATTGGTCGATTTCTTATTCTTACGAACATACCGCCTATTATAGACCAATGTGAGTACATTCACGAAGCGAGTATGAATGATTTTCATTTTCCTTACGATCTTATGTTGTCACCTACCACACTGGAACAGATCCCTGCGACATCTCGCAGACTTACAGACTCACAGCCGTGGTTCCACCTGGATTCGTCCTAGAATGTTTCGTTTCCGGTAACGCGTAACTGAGAATCGCTCAGCCTACATCAGTCAGTCGTTCATTCCGACGGATGAGCGCGCAACGAGGCGTGAAAATACTTAGGTATTCGCATCGTCTTTCCAGCTGGCGATCTGGCATTGCGTAATAACCGGCATAATGGCGATCAATACGAAGATGATGAAGCTCTGGGAGACGACCATTACGTTCTTCAGCTGCGCCTGTGCCTACATACTCGGATTGCCTATGGCCACGGAGGTAAATTTCCCCGTAGTTCTCCAAGTCGGGGATAATAAATCTCCCCGGATGGATTTATCGTCTTACTTATCTGCAGATATAAGCGAGCGCGAGTCCCTTGATTACGCGTTACACAAATATTAATTGAAGTTGCGCGCCGTGTACGAGCGTCGCGATTTAATTTGCGTCGCGGTGCGACGCGACACGTTGAATGTACGTCGCGCGTAAAAAATGTAACGTCGGATATACCCACGCAGTTACCTGCGATATTATCTCCGCGTCATCCCTCCCCCGCCTCTTCTTATCAGCCGGAGATCGCGTAATCTCCATTTACCCGAGGATTGTTATCGAGTTTTTCAACTTGGCGCGGTATCGTGCACGAGTCAGTGCCGCGCCAGTATCGTTGAACGCGGTTTTCCGCCTCGCCGAAACGAGGAAACATGAGCGAGCACGTTCACACGATAGTGCGCCGCAGCGTGTCCTGCTACTTCTGCAACGAGTTCCTGGAGGAGAGGCACCTGTCCGAGCACATGGCTCAGTGCTCGTCGGTTCTGGAGGAGTGTCCGAACAAGTGCGGCGTCTACGTGCCGCGCAGACACCTGGAGAGCCATCGGAAGTCGTGCGGCAGGAGGATGTCGAGGAAGTCGTGTCTCGAGGACTCGGTGTGGAAGGAGAAGGTGTTCTCGGTGCTGACGCTGCTGCGGCTGGCGATCGATTACGGGGAGAAGGAGCGGGCGCACCTGCGCGACGCTCTCTCGAGGAACTCGCACCTGCTGCACTCTCAGCAGGAGTCGCTCGCCGCGCTGCGCTCGGACGTTGGAATGGTGGTCGAGAAGACTCGCGCCGGCGTCGCCCTGCTCAACCAGAGGCTGGACGACCTGGAGATCATCACGGACGACGCGCAGCACCGCAGCAGCGCGAGCTTCCGGCAGATCTCCGAGCAGCTGAAGCTGTTCGAGCTGGCCGACGAGCGAAGCAGGCGGCAGGACGATCGGCTCGGAGAGTTGAGGGAGCTCAGGACCTTCGTCGCGAAAGAGGGCGTGCGCGTGGGAGACATGTGGCAGGAGCAGACCCAGCGTATCAACGATCTGAAGCTCGAGCTGGAGATGAGGTGCAGGGACTCGAAGGAGCTGACGGCCAAGCACGACGCTCTGTCGAGAAACGTGGACGATCTGCTGGAGGAGATCCGCAAGCAAGCCGAGAGCACAGCCAGGCAGAAGTCCGACCTGAAGGGCCTGAAATTCCAAATGAGGCAGAATCTCAAGTACATGGAGGAGCTGATCGCGGAGAGCAGCCCCGGAGCGGAGTTCCCCGAGGCGAATTCCTGCGCCTGCTCGGAAGAGAGGCTGTTCCCCGCCTCGACGAACGGTCGTCTCATATGGCGAGTCGACGGCTACAGGGAGAAGATGAACGCGGCCAAGGAGAAGAACAGCGCGATCCACAGTCCGGTGTTCCTCGACCGGGAGTACGGTTACACCCTGAGGATGGAGTTGTTCCTGAACGGCAAGGGCCAGTGGAAGGATCGTCACATTATCGGCTGTCTGCGCGTGGAAAGCGGCAAGTGGGATCCTCTGCTGGACTGGCCCTGCGTCCTCCGAGCGTCCGTGGTTCTGCGCGATCAGGAGAATCCCGCGAACGACCTGAGGAAAAGCGTGAAAACCGTCGGCCGGGACGACACGGACGATCCCGACAGGAAGTCCGACCTGTACATGTTCATTCCCCACACGACGCTCAGCCGGTATCCGGGCTACACGAAGAGCGACGTCATGTTTTTCGACGTACAAGTGCGAGATGTGAAGACCAGTGCCTCTACGGTGTCAGTGGTCCAATAATTTCACTCGCTTCTAATGATAACGTTAACCGGCGAGTCCGATAATGAAATAGAACAAATGGTAACAAATGATAATATATAACGTACGACGAAATACAAAGTCTACGATAACAATGAATTGTAATAATGAGCTCCGTTTCACTGATATATCATGGCAGTCGTTTGTATTAAACTGTCGGGTTTATCAAAATCATTATTCATAAATCTAATAATGTTATCATCAATAAGTAGTAATAATAATAACAACTAATTGTATAATTTTACTAGTTGTTTCTTTTCTCTCTCTCTCTCTCTCTCAGATATAACAGTTTTATAACTTCTTCTATAACTTGATGAATGTAACTCGAAATACCAACGGTTCCCGAACGGGACCGGGACTTTTCAGTGGAGGTCTAAATGTAAATAAAAAGAAAGAAAATATTACGCTCTACTTTCTCATGATGTATTTGTCGTGTGTTCGCAGCTGGGCATTTACGTCGTGTATTATCTCGATTACACTGTCGGCGGGGCATGGTGGATAGTCGTTTTATATTTGATACAAATCGCCGCGGTATTCGCGGTCCGCGGACGTCCGCACACCGGAGAGGCGGTCGTCGCTGAACTATTCCCACCGACAGGGCGATGCCTGAGATACTGGGCCGGACCTCTGTTATCTTTCACCTGGAACGTCATTCTCCCGGTGACTTTACTGGTGAGTAAAGCCGAGATGGCTTACGTCGACGTTCTGAAATCATCCTATCGCACGTGTTCCCGTCATCGTGTTGTTGTTCTCGCAGGTCCTCTCTATCACGATATTCAAGAGCAGCGGCTTCCGAGAACTCTACTCCTCCCGTCGTCTGCACAAAGATTACTGGGCGTTGTGGGCGAAGCAACTTGGCGCTGCGATTCAGCTGATACCGATAATGACGATATTAGCAGTGGGTATCATACAGACGTGTCGATACTTGAACAGAGAACCAGCCGACATATTCGACGTAAGTGTCAACCTCGTCGATACGACCGGCTATACTTCATCTTTTGCTTTCGGAGGCGATTCGACACGGTCGCGTAGAGGAGAAATGACCAGACCCCCTCAAGTAACTGTCTGGGCGGTCTTTGACTTCTTATTGGTCGGTTTAGCTCCTTATTTCGCCGAAAGTGGCAACGAACTGAGAACTGCCGAATAAAGCGATTCTTCTCTATGTGTAACTGAACGTTATCACAAGACGAGAGATGAAGGACAAAAAGATAATGGAGAAGAGTGTATTTTTAAGGAATTAGAAAGTCTACTTTTATCAATACTATTATCTATAATGAGAATGAATCGTGCATATGCATCCTCAGAAAAGTGTCTGAACTCGACATATCGAGACATCCCGGCAACCAACCGGAGCAGCACTTTTTTTTTAATCAAGAAGTCTAAGATGTCCAGTCTCCTGTTGAGGGGGTGACAAAATTAATGTTTGGATAGTTTTAGTAATGACGCCGGGGAGCGGCGATCCCGCGAATAATAAGAGCGCACGAAGGTAGACTGAGAAGCGATGCACATGGTTGTTGGTCATTTTGCCGATAGCGTTTGTACAACCCGTGTTGACGGGTCTCGACGATCGTTCAGCGCGGGGAAACACGAGACCTGTCGGTGCTTGCTTTGCGGAGGAACTAGTCCACCAAACGAGACTGCGCACGCGCAGTTTCGCCTCGTGTCGTTCTCGAAATCCCTCGGCCGTACGCGTGAACTTCGCAATCTACCGTCGTGAGGATTGCGGATTTAAGCGTATCTGAACGTTCCAAAAACATTCCCCGATATCTCTTCCCTAGATTGCCTGTGTCAACAGATTCTTATCTACTTGTCCACGTGTTATTAACACACACACGCACACACACGCTACAAATCCGTAACATATATCTTTCACGCTGTCTTTCTGTTCTTGCCGACGATAGAACGAACAGGTGGAGGTAACGGTAAATCACTGCGAACAATGTAACGGCGTAAGTTCACGTTAACTTCCCTTGCGTAAATCTCGCATGCATACGTAGTAGTTTGTCAAGTAACTCATTAAGAGTAGTCGTTTATCGCTAGTGTCGGTTGGCGGTAAAGATTAGCGCTAAAGGTTTCGTCATGTTTGCCGATCTGGAAGAGATATCTGGTTTCGAAGTGCTGATCATTCCTACAAGAGGTAGAAATAACGGCAGATTCACTGTTTTTTTAGCCGTCCAACGAGCCGTCTCATTGTCTCACCTTTCAACAAAATCAGTAACTTTCCAGTCGGTCAAAGTTCAGTGGGAAAAGTGACGAGTCCTTTTTCGAGCTAATAGGAATGTACGAAATAGAAAGGCGGCGAATAAATATGGAGTTTTCAAACGAGCGATTCGATCGTTGTCACAGAGGATCCAGCTGCTGTACCGGCCGCCGCTGGAGCCGGAGGACGCCCGGGACGCGCACACGCAGCTCGACACCGGCACCAGCCTGCACGGCAACGGGATCTTGCCGGCTGCGACGACGACGGAGATACCGTTCGAGGACCCGCCGCCCAAGTACACACCACCCCCTAGCTACACGACGGCGACCGGCGCGAGGATCGCGAAGATGCTGCGCCAGAGTTTCCGGCGCAGCGTGCGCAGGATCGCGAACGTCCTGGGCGAGACGAGCAGCGTGGTGACGGCGGCGAGGAGGCCGGCCTTGCAGCCGCCGCCGCCGGATTACGCGACCGTGCTGGTCGAGATGAACCAGCAGAGTGGCGGCAGCGACGGCGGGGCTGGGCCGCACGACGTCCACCTGACCGAGCCGCGGCCGGACGTTACCAACACCGGGAACTGCGGTAGCGACGCACCGCCGGCGGCGATGCTCGATTGGCGGCACCGGCCGAACACCATCGACCGCACCACCAGCAGGATCCCGATGGTGGAGAGACACGCGATCGAGCGCACCCACTCGACCCTCGAGCGCAGACCGCCGTACGCGGGCGCGCCCGGCTCGAACCTGCTGACCGCCGCCGACGTGGCGAGCCTGCTGCGCAGCAGCATCCGCAGGGGCGCTGTGCTGCGCACCACCCAGCACTCACTGCGGCGCAGCTTCTGCCACGAGGCGCCGCCCACCGCGGCGTCCGTCGAGAATCTAGTCGAGGCCGCCGCACCCATCGGCGAGGACTCCCTCGTCCTGACGAAGGACGCGTCTCTAGTCTCCGGCGATCGCCGCAACGACGACGGCAACGACGACGGAGGCGAGAAAAAGACTGCGGGCGAAATGGAGAACTCCGTTTCTGTGATATAGTAGACTGGCGTCACGATCGCATGGAACGTGTCGCCGCCACCAGGGTGTCGCGCGCCTCGACCTTATCAGTCGAATCGAATTCGCCGGTGGACCGCGGCGTAAGTCGGATTCCAAACTCGTCGTCTCCGTGTGCGGTGTCGGCCCGCAATAGCTATTTTCAAGCATCGGGAAATCGACCGATCACGATCGAATTATAGGAGAATAATCAATGGTGATTGGTTAATTTTTTACGCTTAAAATACGCTTATTGTGGATCGACACTGCGTCAATCAACGAGAAAAAAGAGAAGAAGGGGAGAGAATTTCGTCGACTCGGACTGTCTCCCCGGAGAGACTGACCGGATACCGGATGCGACCCGACAGCCTCCAGTGCTTTTGGTAACCCTCGAGATTAAGAGACCGATGTTTCTTCCCCCCCCCCCCTCCCGGGCCTGAGCGATTGTGTGTGCGCGCGACTGTTAAAGTTTCTTCTCTCTTCTCTTGTGTTCTTGCGATATTTATTTCTTGCTATATACATATATACATATATACATATATATATCTATATATATGTGTGTGTGTGTGTGTATAGATACATAAGTACAAGTTAATTTTTCTCGTGAACGGCCTAGAGAAAAATAAAATTTTGCGCAGCAGAGTCGGGCGAACTTTTCTGAATGCATCCCGAATATCCGGCGCTCTCCGTGCATTGGTTCGACGAAGTTGAACGTAACATAAATAAATGTCGATCTACAATTTTAAACTTTAAGCCTCAAGAAATTGGTCGATCACGGTCGAATGTGAAGAGAATGATTAACTGTGATTAGTCAATTTCTTAAGACTTAAAATACCAATTGTGAACCGACACCAACAAACAACGGATTCCTCGAGACGTGTTTGGTCTCGGTGACTGCGAATACGAATTTGAGTTTTATGTTCGCGATTTAATGTAATATTCTCTCCCCATCGGATGGATGGGAATCGGAGTAAGACGTAACTTGAAATAATAGATGTGTAAATAGACATGTTTTGCCCCTTTTGACAACTCAGAGAAGGAGAGGGAGAGAACTTATTGCTGTTGTTGTTGTTAACGAAGCGTGCAGTATTATTTAACGATCGCGAAAGATGTACGATGCCGTACAATCCCTTAACTTTACTTTTCTTCTAGTGAACACACACACACGCGCGCGAGCGCAAACACACACACACACACACACACACACACACCTGGAGGAAGCGACTGAAGGGGGCGAACTAAAACTTAGGGCGTTTAAGAAAGTACTTTCGTAAATTTAGTTCTTACGTCTTCGGCCGAAAACTTAAAAGTTAGGTTCCCTGAGTGTGTTCGAGAATATTTTAGTTGTAAGATGCTTGAAAACCAGTCTGTTCATGCACCGATTACGGTACTTTTATTCAAGATTACGCGGACAATATATTCGTACGTGTGTGTATAAAATGTAGCTCTATGTACTTGTCCCCCCTTGAGATTAGTCCATCTTGTAAATATATAAAGTGTTTTAATTAATTAAAGAGAGAGAGAGAAAGAAAGAGAGAGAGAGAGCGAGCGAGAGAGCATACATATACACCCAACGGCTCGGGAAAATCGATGTCTTTATATATATATATATATATATATTCGAAAAGTGTTTAGAGAATATCCCCTCAAAATTGAGGTAAGTATAGAGATAATAGAAAAAGATAGACTTTTTGTACTATACGACACCAGTGATGAAGGAAGAGCAAAGTTATGAGTTTTGTTTACAGCCTATCGAAGTGATTATTCGTTTCCACTAAGATCGTGACAAAAATATTTTGCCCATTAGTCGGGATATAAACTCCAAATCTCTCAGAGACGATGTTTGAAATTTAGCGGACATAGAAAAGATGGATCAAGTCAAAGAAAGATGTTACATATATTTCTTCTGAGAAATCAAAAAATCACAAAAAATGCAGTCTGCTCCCATAGAGAAGAGATCACAAAGTTATACAGTTTTAAACTTTGCTCTGTGCTCATTTCGCTAAATTTTGAGAAATATTCTTGAAACTACTTCTCAAAGATATAAGAAAAAAAAAATAGGAGATCGATCTTCATTCGTCTGTGTATATATGTGTGTGCGTGCGTGCCTTCGTTAAAGTACGTCGTACAAGTCGGATTGTCTATATTTTGCTAAGTTCGTTCGCCGCAGTAACTCTCATCCTATCTGTAATTCAAATGTGTATAATCCGTCCAATGTGTCGATATTTCTATATAATTTAATATCGATCAGCACTACGATCGCCGCAATAAATTAGATCGGTTCGCATAATATCTTCACGATTAGAAGCGACCGAACATTCCGTCGGTACCGCAGCAGACGAGAAGGATGTTGCGCATCGTTCGTGTTTGTGTAAACATGACCGTGTCTAAGCGTAAATATTCAAGATAATCTTTCGTAAACCGTAACAAGTGTAACCACCTATACCTGATATTATGGACCATAATAAAGTTTTTATGTTCTTGTAAACTTTCTGCCAATGTTCAATCGTTTTTCCAACTTCCCTGCGGCGCTCAAAGTGAAAGAATTACACATGACGTCAACTTAATTTTACATGAAGATTATAACAAACTATGCGTGTGCATTTAGAATTGTGCATTTTTCTGTTCATATATTCTAATGTTACACATTTAATGTATTGCTGGCTAATAATTTTTGCAGAAATTTAACGCAGACAAATATAAAAAAAAACATTAGAATCATCGGTGAAGCATTCGTGCTTTCGTTCCATTTTTACGACAAACTGCTTTTTCATATATTCTCACATTAAAAAGTTGCACAAGAAATTGTATCTACAGATGCAAAAAATCGTTCATCTCGGAACCGAACCTGTACTTCGGTTAGTTACCATATACGGAGTTCGTCTCGTTTCGTGTTTCTCCCATCGGGATTGTCGCTGACGATCGAACTCCGTAAGATAATTCTCTCTGGATGTCATGTGTCGTCATGCGACGTTTTATCAGCGAGCGCAATTTTTATGGAATGTCATGTACAATATACCCGAAATAATCGACGAGATTTCTACAATGCGTATATACACATGTCTGTAATTCGATCATACCGATTTTCTTAACGTATCCCAAAAATATGCGTGTCGTCGCACTGTGAGGTATTTTTGCGACTTCGCGGGACCAAGATGCCAGAACGGATCGAAATTGGTATGTTAATTCTGTCATTCTCGCAGCACATATTCGCGTTTACAATTGCGCAAGTTCGCAACGCTTGTATTACATATATTTACACATCGTGCCTGACATAACCTAAAAGCTGGAATAATAGAATGATGGAAACGTTAGATCTTGAACGAAAACAGAAGACGGGATTGAGCGACACGAACGGACGGAATAATAGCCGTAGAAAATTAAGTAAAAATCGCAATTAACGAGCGAAAAATATTCTTCAGGTATTATACCGAACAACCTGAGACACGAAGAGACGATAGTTCAAATATCGGAAGCTCTGGATAATCTGGGCGATGCTGTCTCATATATATTTGATTGTATCGACAGGAGGCTGTCGGAGAATACGCAGAGGTAAAGAAATTCACCAGCTCTTTGGTTCTCAACGCAATCCTTACATTTATCATCTTGACGATACAAAGCTTACTGTTTGTTCGTATACACATATCTAACGATAATAATCTAACATAATGAAATGGATGCATGGAACATGTATTTTAGATTGAGCAACATCAAGGAGAGAGCTAGGAAACTGGAGGGCAGATTGCATTATCTGCAAACCAACTTGAACCTGAAAGCGGTGAAGATGTACTCAGCTGCCAAGTATCCAGCTAACTGTACTTACAAGGAGTACCGAGTGACGATACCGCCGCAGTACAAGCGCGCTGTTATTGTACCAAGCATTTACAAGTGTTCCGTGCCTATAAAAGATATCCCCGAGTCGTATTTATCTTCCAACTGTAAGACGGAAGGCGGCCAGTACACCGCAAATATCAATCTTCAAGAGAAACTGCAATTCTACCACGTACGATCGAAGGCCAGCAAAAAAAGCAGCGGTCTCGAGGATGACGGGGAACCGTTCCCGCCGCAATTATCCTCAGTTAGTGCCCTCCTGTTGTTCGACAGCACGGACAGCCCGTATGAAAAAACCTCGGTGAGATCATCGCGCCAATCTAACGACAAGCAGCAAATTGAGGACGCGCCGGACTCGATTGTACAACCGTGGCTTTCATCGGAAATGGACTCGTCTTCCAACTATCTGTACACACCGACTCTCGGAGAGGTGAGAATTCCCGTGCAACATATCCCCGTTTAACGCGCGTCATATTTTTTAACGACCCAGTCGGACTCTATGTTAATTAACATTTGGACCGCCCTATCATCCACACACGGTTTCGACGACCTTCGGTAATTGAAGGGGGAATAATTTTATGAACTATTCGTACATGATATATTGGATGAAAACAATGTCATTTCTACGATATATGGTAATGTGGAGGGGACTAAAGTCAACATTATATATTTATTACAAAATGATCAGACCTACGTGGATCTTTTGTGATAATTTGGCAAGCGATCCTTGCGTAATTCCTTATTATTACATCGGCATATTAAAAATACTAACATTAGATGACGTGTAACATATGTGTGGAGATTATTCGAAACGCACATCCGAGATTTATTCAGAAAGAAAGAAAATATCCGGAATCTTTCAGGTCCCTCAGATCAACGTGCCGCTGACACTCCCAGACCTGCCCGGCATCGTGGACGATGAGAAATTTGTGCTCGATCTGAACTCGCAGAGCCCGATCGCGCCGTCGTCCGCGGTGACGACGCCGACGGTGCGTCTGGATCTGCCGACGCCGATCAGCGACGAGAGGGACTCCCGCGGGAAGGTCGAGGACAACGCGCCGTGTTTGCCTGTTCTGACTGAAAACGTGCCTGCGGCCGTGACGTCGTCGCGGGAAACCGCGCCGCCACCGCCTCCTCCCCCCGCGCTGAATACCGCCGAGAGCAACGGGAAGAATGTTCGGCAAGTGATGGCACCACCGCCGCCGCCGCCTCCGCCGCCTCCACCGCCGCCGCCGCCGCCGCCGCCGCCGCCGGCGGCGGAACCGTCGGGCGACAACCCGGAGAAGAAGGAGAAAGCCCGGCCGGCGGCGAGGAACGTCACGGACGACCGTTCGAATTTGATGGCGGCGATACGAAACGCCGGCGGAATAGGCCGAGCGAAGCTGAGGCCTACCGCGCCGGACGAGAAGAAGCGCGACCGATGGTCCTCGGCATCCGTCGGCGGGGATCTGATGGCGGACCTGCATGCGAAACTGGCGCTGAGGCGCAAAGGTATCGCCGGCTCTACGGTAGACGCCCTGGAGAGAATGTCGAGTCTGATACCGCCCCCGCCGAAGCCAAACGAGGCGTCCGCGTCGGACCGGAACTCCGCCACCAGCGAGTACGACTCTCAACCCGACACGGACGACTGGGAAGAGTGATCGTTGCTGGCGCGGCGACCGGTCCAGCGGCGTACTGGCGAAAAGTGGTCGTAACGTCGGGGAGGAACCGCGGCGGCTTAAAGCCAGTCCGGTGGTTGCGCTCGCACGAAGACTCAGGGGAACTCCTACTCAATTCAGGTTCCATAAAATGGGAGATAATATCGTGAAAATATGCAGATCTATATATGTATATATGTATATGTTTATATATATATATATATATATATATATATGAATAACCTACTTTTTATTAAAAAATATATATAATTATAAATTTCATGCATGTGGCTGCTGATCGCACGACTCTATCTTATTCTTATATATATATTGTACATATACAAAAGTCACAAAACGTATAATTCTTGATTTTCATATTTATTTCATCGTACATTGATTTTCCGATATTGTTGTAATTACTTCATACACCGTGTACAGACAGAATAACACTATGTATAATTATATGTATAATTATACTCTTATATATATATATACATTATATAATTTAAACGTGATAGATTTGTTAGAAAATCAAGTAAAAAAATAAAAAATATATATTTTGTGCATCATATTTTCTGATTTCGCGACAATTCAATCGATCGAGATATAATTTAAATAATCGGCACGCAGTCGGTCACACAAGGAGATAGCTTCTTTAGAAAATAAATTTCCAAAACCGACTATACACTGATTATTTAAACAATTTCATCTGTACATGTTCCTATAAAAAATGTTTATGGTTTAATTACCGACATCTGTTTATTTTATATTTATATCCTACGATCTTCCTCCTGCAGTCTTGCGCATATAATGTATAACTACTTCCTCCATTATGGTTCTAATAGTACACATTTCTTAATATACAATATAATTTATAAAATATGAATATAGAATAAATGTATGTATAT